ACATAAGAGAGTGCTGAAGCCTGATTGATGTGGATTGTTGAGCTCTGTTTCAGACGGAGAGACGTTCAAATAGAAGAGAGAAAAATCTGTTTACAGATTGTGAGGTCTGTGGTTCACATGTGGTTATGTGATATGCTGATAGAGGAGTGAGATAGTTTTTGTGCAGGCAGATTTACTGACCTGGTTACTTAAGTCGGTGCTGACAGTGTTTTTATTAATCACTTCTCTTGTGCCTGGAAACACTTGTAGGTACAGATGGAAAAAGAAGGCTGAGTGCAATCTGTGTTGCAGCGTGTTAGTAGATGCCAGCACCATGGCATTGAGGTGGTGTGGCCACTAAGCACATGCACATGCTGCTGTTGTGTTGGCAACTGGAGACATGAATTTTTTTTGGATGGCATTTTTGTCATTTCCTAAGAGGGAATTTGACAGTCATTCCAGATCCTTCCTCCCCAGAGGCCGATGTGGTTTAGGGCTGTTTTCTCTTCTTGATGAGAAGCCAAGGCAGCATTATGTGATAGGGGAAATAACTAGGGAGCTGCGGATTATCTTATTTGTGCTCGTGAGAGGGGACGGTGCTGAGGATGTTTGGTCTCACCTTGTTGCATTCAGGACCTGCCAGGACAGTATTTGAATTTGCCCTAAGGAGGGTGTTTTGCACTGCCACCTCCAGGCAACATCTCTTACTCAGGATCCATCCAGCTCAGGCACGTTTTGGTTTTAGAAACCCATGCGAACTTGCTGCAGCCAAACTCCTGGATCTTATTTTGCATTCTTTCTGTCTAGCTTTGTCCTCTGTTCTTTCTGTCTCCAAATTACCTTGCCACGTTGCTGCAAAAGCCTTTCTCTGGGTCACTGCTGCCACCAGGGTCTGCCATCAGTATGTCTCCCTGCTTTTCAGTCCTTACAGCTGCAAGCTCCCGGGCTTATGAGCAGACATGCATGCACAGGCGGAGCATCCTCTGTCGCTCCTGAGGAGCACCTGTGGCACATCCCCTGCAGGTGCCAGCTTCACTGGTGGTGAGCCAAAGGAGATCAGATCTTCTTCACAAGCCCCTCTCCTTACTCCTGCCCCCGGTAACGGCTGGCTGCTTGTGCAAAGTGATTCTTCATGCATGCTGATGCTGACAATGGACGCCAGAGGTTTACAGGGAGTGCTCCACTTGGGTTTCCTGCCAGCTCCATCGTAGCCTCAAATGACAGAAGTGTCTCCTGGTGGAGGAGATGGAGATGTGAATGGAAAGGGGGGAAATATTCCTGTGATGCGCACTCTTTGTTGTTATTTAGACTTCTTGCTTAGTTAGGTCAACTTGCATCTTTCATTTTATTATTCTTTTTAACAACCTGCCATCTGTCTTTGCTTCTCCTGCAAAGGAGCGTTTGGGAGCCCTGGTTTGGTTTTTTTGGGAAGGGGGAGCATGGGGAACATACCTGTGGGACTGGAGGAAAACCGTGCCATCGTGGCACTTGAGATTTGCTCTTATTACCACATAGGCAGCTGCTGATTAGCTCCTTTGTGGTATTTCAAATAGGTTGATATTTTGGATGATTTTCCATGAAGATAAAGCTGGATGATTTGTAGGACTGCCTGCAGGTGAAGCAGGGGTCTGTTCAGCAGTAGCACAGCAGGGACCTGCGAGGGTTCGAACTGCTCTGGACAGAAATGACACGAGGCAGCCAAGGATGGCTGCTGGGGCACATTACTGACCTCATCCTCAAACCAGTATTTTCTGACCCTGGTGCCTTGTCTGAAGTGTCTTGGCCTGAGTGGTAGAGTGCTGATTTTGGTGGTGGTTTCCGACTTTTTATGTTTTGGGGTTTTGTTGTGTTTTTCCTTTTTTTTATTTTATTTTTTTTTTCCCTTTTAGTCTTTATAACAAACTCTTACACTGCCTCTTCAAGTGGTGTAATTAAATTGCAAGACTCGGAGTCCTAATTACCCTCTCCCATGTGAGAGTTGAGCTCATCTTCAGAGAGAGGCTGTTGGCTGAGATCCAATAGAGACAAATCTCAGAGCAGAGACTGCATCTGTGTTGATATTTACTTTTATTAAGGATAATGGTCATTACCAAGTGATACCAGAGCAGGTTGCTCTTTATAGGTTATTTTTGTCTGGCTGTAAATGAAAGCAGAAGGAAAAGCAGAATGGCTCTGTCTCTGCCTTTTCTGTATATCTCCTTCTCTGCCTTTTCCAAAGAATCATTAGTATAGCATCTGAGTTGGTGGGTCTGGCATGTGCAGAAATCTGCACTGATGCATGAAAAAATTACTGATAACACATTTAGACACTTCCTATTCTGGGAATTTCCTCCTCTTCTATCCCTTGCATCAGTGCAGATAGCTTGCATAAACAGACGAAACTCCCAATGCAGCAGTGCAGAGAATCTGCCCACTAAATGGTAAGAGACATACTGGAGCAAACTTCTTTCTTTCCTGTGATAATGGATGTGCATTCAAGCAGCTAAGTGAATCTCTACAAATGGAGCAATCCTGAAAGCAGGGCAGGCTTGATCCTGTTTCCTTCCAATGAAACAGCTATTCTTATCTTTCTGTTTTTTAATAGAAACTCATGCAAACAGAAAATGAATTGGTAGGAGTTGGAGTGGTAGGAGTTGCTAGCTGCTTGCTCAGGGGTACATCTCAGCAGTAACGTGTTTTGTAGCGTTTTTCAGCTATAAACCTTGCACGACTTTTCTAAGATGAGTATCCAGATTGCTAAATCACACACGAGGGAAAATTACACTTTTTTTCCCCACGTGGTTCGAAGTTGCACCAAACTGAGGGCAGAACTGGCAACAGAATTGTCTTCATACCCATTTTGGTCCTCTACTGATACCAGAACAATTGTCTGCACGTCTCGGGCTTTGACAGACCCCGTTGCTGGAGGTATGTTTCAGCATTACGCCTGTTCACCTCAACCACCTAACTTTTGTCTTGGCAAGGCTGAGATAGCCAGAACTATATTTGTATCCTCAAAACATTTGGGAGTGTCTAGAAGAGCATTTACAAATGTTGTCTGTGGTGCGGGCTGACTGTAGTTAGCTGTCTGGGAGTCAGCTCCAGCAGGGCCACGAGGGTTTCTCTGTGCCTCTGGATCTGTCTGGGGTAAGACTGGAGGATGACCTGAAACTGCTTCCTTCTGAGATTTCCTGACATGTGGGTTGCTTAGGTTTAGTCCATGGGACTGTTGGAGGACTGCAGGTGAGAGAAGACAGGATGTTTTTGGCCGCTCGTTTTGATGTTGCTGCAGAGTTTCTGTACAAACTCCATGTGGCAAACCAGCTTTTTGGCAAAACTCCAAATCCTGGCTATTTGTTTAGTAATCTAGTTTTGTTACAAGGAGAGACGTTGATTTTATTCAGTGAACAGATGACATGTTTTAGCTCTACCTTCCACTGCAGCCTGAGGAAGGCAAAGATGCAGCAGACAACAGGGAGGTAACTGTCTTCTCAGACTCACATCTCCAGCCTCCTGGAGAAGCAAAGAAAGTGTTCACAGGTTACAATGACCAGCTTTGGCTATGATCTGAAAATGCAGAACTGACATGAATTCAGTAAGAGTCTTCAGATAAACATGCTTCTATACAATTGGGATTACAGGTGCTCCTTTCTGGTGAGGTGGTTGCATGCTTTGTTAGTTCCTTAAAATGCTCATTTCTGTCTTCAGCATAATATCCTGATTTTGATGCGTGTGTCCATAGCACCCCCTCCACGTTTCCATCTACAACAAGCAATTTGGAAGTTTCCACAAAGGCGTGCTCTGATCTGCAGCACACTGTGAACCTACTGTTTGTTGTTCCTCACATTTGCAGAAAGGCAGCTGGAGAACATTGGGAGAATTAGCACCGGTGCTGGCAGCAGCACTTAATTTGGTGGGGCTCTTGCAACCCTTGCATCTCAGTGCCTCTAATGTGTCTCTAATCAGTTTAAACTTGATGGGTTTTCAGTGTTTTCATTTTCTAAATTGATTTATCTGAGTAAAAGGTACAAGTTGTCCTCTGCTGGGAACAAGTTTCCAAGCTTTTTAATCTTGCTGTTTGTCAATGAAAAGAATAGCCTTGTCAATGTGAATCATCCTCTTTCTCTGTAGTTGTGCTGTTTCACTCGTCTCCCCAGGTCTTTGACTGACTTCATATTCACTTCAGCTTGACGTATCCTTATAGCTTCACTTCTACATTGTTTAGAACAGCAGATAGGCCACAAACCCCCTTTACCTGCCCACCTGAGTGAACGTATATGTAGTTTTCTCCCATGACCCTTCTCTCTTCTTCAACAGCCTAATCTGGTGCTGGAAGCAATTCACTCTGGTTCAGTTTGAAAACCACCTCCAGCAGGTCTGTCTGCTGTTACATGCCTCCTTCTTCAGCAGCTGTGGCAGATGCTCCTTACCTCCGTTTGCCAGGTGTGGCTTCAGGACACATCCCTCATACCTGGAGTGAATGGGGTTGCTGGGCTTGTGGCATCAAAATTTGAATTGGTTTTTGTTTTCTACAGGACCTTTTTAAGGCTAGCCACTTGTGATCTGGGCTGGAGATACCATAAAGATGTTTCTTTTTGGTTTTGAGTTATCTTCTGCCACATATAAAAGCTGACCTGCTCTTTCTCTTTGAATCTTTTCACAAACAGTGCTCTTTGACCATTGCCCTAACAGTAGCACAGTCTTAAACTTGACTTCTTAAATTTTGTGTTAATCCCATGGATAGAAGGTCTGCTGAGGTACTTGGACGTGCTAGTATGGTCTCCTTTTCCACTGGTTAGGGCCTGACTTTGGAATGTGGTTTTAACACAGTTCGCTGTGTCCTGACCAAGCAAACGGAGAAATTAAATTGGCTAATGTAGCTTTCCACAATGCTTGTCTCACAAACTTATCTGAGCAGCTTCCAAATTACTGTTAGTTGCAATGAATTGCTGATGAGGAAGCACAGCAGTGAGTTTTCAGAACTGAATGCATTTGATTTCCTTTCTTGTAACTGTTTTTCTTTCAATATGTGTTTTTTGCAGTGATACTGAAAGCCGAAAATTATGCAAGAAGATGAAAGTAGATCCTAATTCAAAGGAGAAAGGAGTGGAATTACTCCATTATAAGTGAGTGTTGGACTGGGATTTGCAGTTCCTAATTGTTAATGCCCCCGTTAGGACTGTTTGTTCTCCTTGCAGCTCCATACTGCTGCAGCATGAAAACTTCCTAATTTTTATCCTTCGACATGTTAAATTGATTGCTGTTTCTTCAGTTTGCAAGCATGTGTTGTGACAGAAGTTGAGATAAATTTATTCTGCTGTTGAATACACTAAAAGCATCAACAGTGCCTGGGAGAGATGCCCAATGGAGTAAAAACTACCCAATGCACAGGACTGATGCCTGAGATTTGTGCTCTGTCACGTGCCCTCTGGCATGTGCCTTGGACAAGTCACTTCACCTCTCTGTGCTTGCTTTTCCAACTTGGGATGGTGCTTTGTAAAGTAAGTGGAGAAAGGCAAGTGTTGTCAGATAGCAAGAGATTTTCTTCCTGGAAATAATAAGAGTGGGAGTACTGTTAAGTGTAAGAGACACAAAGCAGCTGCATTTCCATCTCTAAAGATCATGCCTTGGTAAATGTTCTTGTTAAAAGTGTCAGGGAGGAAATTGTTTACTAGAAACCTGCTTGCATTACACTCTGTTTCACACTCTCCCTTTTTCCTTACTCTTTTTTCCCCTCCCTTAAATTACTGTACTGTAAATTCTACTTAGTTCTGTGGCTTCAGCAGGGTAATGTTTTTCGGGTTAGTGAGAAGAGAGGGAGAGCAGCTATATGATTTCCTGCAATGTTAGTGTAAGTTAATGCTGTTCCCAACTCCTTGTTCAACAGGGACGGTGCATTTCATACTGAATATAACAGAGCGGTCACATTGAAGGTAAATTTAAATACTTGATTATTATTCTTTGGCTTTTGCTGGATATGGGGGAGAGATACTTGTGAATTAAAAACAGGTGTTGGTACTTTTTCATTCTGAAGGCATGAAAGGGAGGGGGTTAATCTTCATAAACAGCTGTCAGAATGACCTGAAGGCGTTTGTGTGTGTACACGTGTCTGCCAACCACAGATCCAGGAAAATTGTGTATTATTAAAAAGGTTGAACCCATGTTGAACTGTAATGTAAATTGTGAGTTAACTTGCAGGCTGGTAACAAGTAGGGATTTTCTTGCTTTGATTACAAGGTGCTGTTATGGCAGTTTAAGTAAAAGTATTAGCTGATACTGCATTTCGATAAGGAGTTCTCCGAGGTTTTTAGGTTGTGTGTTTGTAAACCTTAAAGAAAGCTAAGCAGCCTTGTCTTTTATCAGATTATGGAACAATGGTTCCTATGGATGTGCCCTGAGTGCCACACAGATAAAACAACCTTCCTTCTCCTGCAGACTTTTACATAAAGCAACAGATACCAACATTCTGTGAAGGCAATGGAAGGAAGAAGACATGAAATGTGAAACGAAAGTGTAGATCTTGATGATTGTGGAAATGATGGACTAAAAGCACACTTTTGGCCTTCTTACTGTGCAGCCTTCCTCTGCAGAGCCCTGGTGAAGCACTGGGAGTATGAGGTTGCAGCCTTGCAATGACTCGGCTTCCGAGAAACGACTTTAGTCCAGCTCTGATGCCTCGTTCCCATTTCTCTTCCTTCTCTAGCAAGGCCAGCTCTGCACCATTGTTGATCTTGTGGAGGCTTGATGACACCACCCAGAGCTGACATCATTACATTCACTTCCCCTTTCTTGCTTGTTCAGGGATTTGGCCTGGGATGGAGGAAAGCCTGCGAGAGATGCTACATGAACCTGAGTCTGTCAGTGTGACCGTTCCTATGTGTGCTTGCTCTGGACCTTGCTTTTACAGCCAGAGTGCTTGAGGCTCCTTCTGTACTTAGTGAAAAAGTGCACCTGATGAATTTTTTTTCACTCTTGGTGGGTGGTGGAGTGAGGGAGACTTGTTAGTTGCCTAAATTTGAGTGGTTTAAGCAATGCATGACATGTCTTTCCTGCCCTCCATAAGGTGCTGTGACTCTTCCGTCCAGATTGAATCATCTGGAAAGCACCTGCAGAGCCCCAGGGAGTGTTGGGCTGAGAGGCAATCATAGCACAACAGGAACCATACCATTTATTCCTTCAGTTGCTGTTTTGTTTGTTTTTTCCAGTGTGGGTGGAAGAGGGGTTTTGAAGTTCTCTTGCTCTAGGAGCTCTAGTCTTTCTTAATTTAACTGCCCCTGTGAAACCAGCTGCTAATGATTTAGAGGTTGGACAATGCATCAGAGCTGGGCAGTGGTCAAATAACTCAGCTGAATGTTTACTTGTTCTGCTGCTCACAGCTGCCTGAATATTTTCTGTATTTCTCCCTCTATACCACTTCTTCTCCCTGTTTTCTTCTGTTGAGGCAGTGACCTTTCTCTCTCAGCTGTGTTTGTCAGGAATCTCCCAGTACATTACAAACAGTGAGCAGCAGAGCAACACAATTACGTAGCGTATCATACTCATTTTACGGACAGGTGGACACACTGAAGAATAGGGATATTAAAGGATTTGTTTCACATCATTCAGCAAGCTTGTGGCAATAAAACTACGATCTTCTTTCCAGGCATCCAGTAGACATATTAATATATATATGGTATTTTGGAGAATGATGGACACAGCTCTGAAGAACTGTAAAAGGATTCTTCTGAAGTAATTGTCAATTTCGTAGATATGGCTGATCCAGCTGATAGTGTACTCAGGTTTTGAAGAAAAGCTTTTCATTTCTTAAAGTAACTAAATCCTTATGTAATTGGCAGAGATGCCCTTGTGGCTTTACTGTTAGAAAAATGAGGAATAAAGGATAGCTCAGTGTTCACAGTCAGGGGAAGTTAGTGGCAGTCAACCTCCTGCTGCTGAGACCTGTGTTAGGGTCGGAGCTGTAAAGGGAGGTGGACTGCAAGATAACAACGTTTGGTGATGCAAAATTATTAGGAATAGTTAAAAAAAATCTTTCCGACTCTTTGCAGAAGGGCTTAGGTTCTTGCAATACCATGTGGCTCGTCAATATCAAAGTAGGAACTTGCAGGGTAATGAACATGAGAGAGGAGGAAAGGGCGCAGCTCCAGCTATGCTGGAGTAATGCATGTTGTAATGGGTTTTGAATTACCAGTCAGGACAGCGGTTGGCTTCAAAATATTGTCCCTGTGCTAGGAGAGGAACAGAGGATGGAAGAGGAAATGTTATTCCACGGAGTCCATTGAGTTCCTACATCTTGTGTCTCGTATGTGATTCTGGTTGTCGTATCAAGTGAAAGATGTAGAAGTACTGCAGAAGGGCAGTGAGGATGATCAGGTTCACAGATGGTTTGAATATTTATGTGAAGATTCTTGGTCTTAGATAAAAAGACAACTGGAGGAGATTGTGATAGATATTTGTATAACTGTGAGTAGCTTGAAAAAGGGAATGATTACCTATTGTTTCTCCCTCCAAGCTTGGGTGTAAACAGTGGCATTTTGAGACGGCTAATTTGAAACAACTGCAATGTTTTAGAAAAAGTTGTGGAACTTGTAGCCACATATTGTGAAAGCCAAGAATTTAGGAGTCTTAAAAACAGTTTTAGATAGTCATAAAGGATAGATCTACTGATAGTTAGCAAGCACAGAGGTCCAAATGCAACAGCTGGTGCAGAATCCATAAAAATTATTTTTTACCAGAAACTGGAAGCATACACAGTGCATATTATATAAGAATGATGCTAGTATGGTTGTTCCCGAAGTATCTGTAGTCAGCTGCTGTTGGAGACCTAAGCTTAGATCAGTCTTTGATCTTAACTGGTACGTCTGTTCATATGCTGCTTTAGCCACAGCATGTCCTAATCCTCGGTAGTGCTGTAAGGTCAGTAATCAGGCTGTGTTTATTACATGATGAAGCCTTTTCTAGAGGATAAAGTACAGGGAGAGTTTTACTCTCCTTCTAAAATGGAGAAAACTCATTAAAGTACAAATCTGCTCAGTGCTAGCAAAGGGAATAGACTAACCCAATAAATTGGTCCGGCTCTGGACTCTGAATCCTTTTCAAGTTTGCCGTTGTAAGGAGTGTGTGTGTGAAATCAAGGGAAGCCTTTTTCTTAGCATCTCTACTGCATTATACTTCAAAGGAGTGAAAAGTACCGGTGTGTGTTTCTGTGTACATCTTTTTTTCAGGTTAAAACCTAGGTCCATACATGATAGCCAGCTATTGTGCTATTAAAATTTGCTTGATTTTGGCAGCACGGGATGGATGAAGCCATGTTCTGTATTCTAGTGAATTGATATTTAAGGTTGAAAGCTGTCACAGGGATTCGGGCAGCGGGTTACTACCCAGCATGGCTCTGTCGGTGCCATGGAGTCAAAGTGGGTCCTGACCACATCATGGCAGGACAGGAGCACAGCTGATTCTTCAACATGAGGGTTGCTGTGGCCTGTACCTTGCTCTGATCTCTAACCCAGCAGCCTGGGGACCACTGCTTTTCTGTGATTAGAAAGGGCTGTGCTTTGGTTTTGGGGGGGTTCTTTCCTATTTAAAGGCACACAGGAAGTTCTCTTCACTGCCTGGAGTAATGAGTGCAAGGCAACGTACTGCCTGCTCCTGCCAGAAGACATTACACATCTAATTTTTTCTTTCTTGGCTGAAAGGGAGAGACTGGATGAATTAAATCTCTTTAATCCCCCATCCTCTAACCACATATGTTTCTACATGACTGAACTTGGCACACAGGAATTCTTGAAACTAGCAGAGTCAATCGCACTCATTAGCTGTTTAAAATGTTGACCCCTCTCTCCTCTGCTTCAGTGTATAGTTGAGATCTGTGCAAACTGAGAGCGAGCAGAACTTGATGTAGCTTTCCTAAATGTAGAACATCTGCCCTGTTTTGTCCTCATCTCTCCCCATATATTACTAAGTCTTCTTAGGGCATCATTTGGGATGTTTATGCCTCTAGTTTTAGGGCTTTTTACAACTATAACTGCATTATAAATTACTTGATCTTATTTTTTTTCCTAGCTAGCTCCTTTCTCTGCTAATGTCATATTAAAACAAATTTCTGCTTGAAGTGTTTGTGGTCCCAACACTACCACCTCACCCCTTAGGTCTTCTTACTTAGGTACCTTAAGTGTTTTGCTTGATGTCTAGTGACTCATATGTGCTGCCTCTTGTGATAAGACAAATCTCTTAAATATTAACTGTGCAAGTAGACAGAAACATAAATGCAATAAATGTGTCCTGCCGTAAGCTCTGAATCCTACCAAACCTTGCAGTACCGACTGAGATGCAGGAAAATGAGCTGAACTCTATTGGTAAGCTGTTGGAATGTTGTACCAGAGCAGCTCTACCAAAGACAGAGAGGTGGTAAAAGTGTCTCTGAGACTTTCAGCAGCACGTGCCACCAGGCGTGCACGTGCCACCAGGCGTGCACGTGCCACCAGGCGTGCACGTGCCACCAGGCGTGCACGTGCCACCAGGCGTGCACGTGCCACCAGGCGTGCTGCTAACCTGCTCTTGAGAAGGTGGAGTACAAACCTGATGTTTAGATGGATGCTTGTGATGTATGTTAGTATATACTCAGCTCTGCTCTTCAGTTGTGAGCTGCTTTGGCAATATATCCTATGGGCTGAAAAAGGCTTTAATGAAGCTTTTCTTTGCTTCAGCTCCAAGTAAGTTCACTTAGTGCTGTTGCAGCATCATTCTCTCACACTTACAATGAAGGAAGTGCCTCAGGGACATCACTGTGTTACTGGTGTGGCAGAGACCCTGTCTGGGAGTGGACACATACCTATGAGCAATGCCACAGAGAGAGAAACGGGATCAGTCTGAGTGGTGAATGAACACAGAAAACTGAGTGTTGTGTTTCGTAGACCTCCACCAATGATAACAGTGATCAAGCCTGTGCTTCTATGTATGGCTGGAAATAGGAGGCAGTGCAACTACTGGAATCCATGGAGAGCATCTCATTGACTTCAGAGGGCTGGAGTTTCCCTCAGGCTCAGACTGAATTCAGAACCAGCAGAGAGTATTTCCTTGCAATAAAGAGAATATCTGTGGTCTGCTGAAACAGATTGTTGGTTGCGTGTCAGCTGGGTAAAGCAGTTATAAAGTATGCATGCATGTGTACTCTGCTTGTTGAATATAGGAGCTGCAGAATTATAGGGTCTCATATTTCCCGCTTCTCTTGTCATGTTTTTTGTTACTCTTCTACTTAAAAATCCATTGAGTGCAGTTTCTAGGTAGATGGGTCATAGAGGGACCAAATACGCAGTTTGATCTTTGAGTGTAGAGTTCATTGCCTTTGCTCACAGCGAGTATCTGTGTGCCCTCCAACTAGTCCTATTGGATTCAAAGGTTACTCAGATATTGGTGAAGGGCATGGGAACCTGACCTCTGCATAAAGATTGAGCCAGGGAGTAGCTGTGGAAGTATTGCAGATCTGGTGCCCTTGAAAGAGCTCTCTGAAGGATCCCTGAAGCTACTGTCTGTGTGCTGGTCTCCTTCCATACTTGTTTTCCTCAGTTTTATAGTGGAAATGGGAACTGGTAAGTTGGGGTATCAGTTATGAGGAAGTTACACACCCATGTATCACTTAGTTCTGCAATAAGAGATTTGTGTTCATCTACGTTAGAGCAGATGAGTGTATGAGCAGAAGAGCAAAGGCGCTAATTGGATGGGGTTTTCATGACAGCATGGATTTGAGATTGAGTGTCTCATGGTTTCCATTCATGTTGCTTTAAAAGCTTTTTTCCCCTGTTTATTACAGTCTGTAGTGGCCTTTCTCAAGGATCCAGAAGGTGCACCGCTATGGGAGGAGGATCCTGAAGCCAAAGATGTTGTGCATGTTGACAGTGAAAAGGTACATTAGCTGGGATAGGTGTTCTATATGTTCTATAAATATATGGTATGAAAGGAGTGTGTATGTTTGTGTTAACTCTTAATGAAGCACCAAGCACTGTTATTTCATTTATTTGGAAGGGAAGTTTAAAACACCCAAACTGTTTCAAGTGACTTGACAATGTTTGTGGATTGTGATAACTATAAAGTCAAGTCTCCTGCTTCCTGCCTTCTGCTTTTCTGCATGTGGTTATGATATTAGTCTGCCAGCTACATGGCAAGTATCAAAGCGTTGTGGATGGTGTGGCGGAAGAGACTTGTTTGTCTCAGGAAAGTGTAGCAGCTTGCAAGATGCAGTAGGGTGCAAGTGGGAGGCAAAACGCTTCTCTTCCAGCCACAGGTTGTCATTAAACCTTGGGTTCTCTCATGTTCCTGAGGTTGTCACAGGAAGTCTGGAGCAGGAAGGAACAGGAACCAGATCTTGAGTGATTTAATCTTGTATAGTAACTGTCCTCTCAGTGTTAAATGGGAAAGCAGCAAATTCAATGAAACTACCTTAAAAAGCCAGTGCCACCATAGAGTTACCCATTATTTTCTCTCTGATATAGTCAGCTTGGTCTTTTGTATTAGTTTTCTAGTCTATAGATTTTTTTAAAAAACTTTAATTGATTGGACTCGAGCTGGTATTTTGTAAAGGGCCTTTTCAATCCTATAGCTTTCATTTTCAATATTAGAAACAGCTATTTTGACATTCAGTTTTTGTAGGAAGATTAATTTTTAATGTTCACCCTCTGTACTCTATTACAAGCCTTCCAAGGGTTGCATTCAATTTGGAAACTTCATCTCATTTTTCTATCATGCTGGTACTGAAAAAAAATCTATTCTCATGGCTTCTCACAGCTCTGACAAGGTTTCATAGTGTGGAAACTGAACTCTTGTTTGTTTATTATTGAGTGTGAATTTTTGAATTAGAGTATGGCTTTTTGAATGGATGAGGGAAGAAGATTTCCAGTCAGAGATTCTGCTGTGAGAATAAACGAAGACATGCAACTTCCACATCTCCACAGTGGAGATGCTGGTCTAGGATATTTAGCGAATATTCGAATCTATAATAAATTTGGCCATCTTCTTTCAAGTTAAAATTGAGCAAGGATAAGAAACTCAAGTCTTGTCTGTTAGGAAAGATGACCCCTCTTCCCTCAGATAAATAAGCCTATATTCTATGCATATATATATTCACTTTTTAAAGTTTTAACACAAATAATAAGAGGTGTCCTTGGGTATAGGTCTGTTTTTATTTTCTTTGGTTCATTCACTAGGAATTGAGAAGGCTTCTGAAGAAGGAAGACAAACCCCTTCTGATGATGTTCTATGCCCCATGTAAGTAACCCAGCACGTCCGGTCGCCTCTTTCTCCCTTCTCCACTGAGATGTCCAAGTCTTAGTAGAAGCCTCACCTGTGCTTCACTAATACCATCTTATCCCATCTTTATCATTCAGCTCTTTGTGGTGTTCTGCCTGTTTGTCCTCAGATTTGCCCTAGTTGTCCATTGCTTGTATCCTAGTCTTGTCTCTTTTTCTCGTGATGATGACTCTTGTTCGTTGTTGTTTTAAGCAGCTGCTTTCTGTAATTTCTTTACCCATTGTCCTTTCTAGATTGTATTGTACAAGACAGAAACACTTATACTGAGTGCATGTCTGTCTGAGAGTGCCTAGTCCTCTGGCCTGTACGGAGCTGTAAGTGCAAACGGGTGTTGCACACGCTTTTTACTTTTGTAGTTTGGGCCATAGCATAAGACAAGCTGGTTCAGTACAAGCAGAAGATCTCCAGAGGAGACTGTGGAGTTGAAAAAAACCCAACATATTAGTTCTTTGTAGCTGCAGACAGAGGGAACAGTGCAGTGGTCAGGAGGAGGAATATCTTTCCAACTCCATCCAGGGGGCATCCTGGGTATTCCTACCCACGTGGGCAGGAGTAACTTGAATATGAGTTGGATTTCGTGGTGGGAGGAGGCAGGAAGGAAAGAGAAGAGCAAATTGCAGTCAGTGCATCTCTTTTGTGACCTTGGCCTTGTATTGTTGCGATCTTGTCATTGCATTGGCTGCTTGTTCCTTAATTTTACAGATTTACAACTGCTTTTTTGTGTTTCTTGGTGACTGGTATGTGAGAGGTTTTCCAGCTCTTCAAAACAAGATAGTGTTGCACTGGAGTTGTTGGAAAGCAGGGGAGCCGTGAGAAAGGAATGAATATGGAACCTAAGCTACAAAAGCCTCACAACACTGCCCTGATAGGGAAATTGATGTTAGGCACTACTAGCAATTTGCTGGCTGATTCTCTTTAAAACTGTTCCATGGCAGCATTATCTGATGTTTCTCAGTGTATTTTCTCTTGTAATTACTGCTTGAAATGCCATTCTGCTTTTTCAGTCTCATCTGAGTACTGCTAAGATGGCCAGAATTGCCCAAGACTTAGTTTGATGCATTACTAAGAGAATGTTTTTTCCTTTAATTAAATTAGTTGCAGCTCCGTGCCTTCAGACTCTGCAGCAGGATGGTCCTGTGTGGCCTGGAATGGTGCATGGTAGCTCCCAGTCGCTGCTGCTGCCTTAGCATCAGCGGGAGACGATACGCCTGCTCTGCCTGTAAATTGCCCCTTTGAGGAGAGTTCAGCTGCAGAGTGCTTTCACAGTTTACCTGTATCACGAGTAATTGTTTTCCACAACTGAGCCTCTTCCTGAAACGTGCCTTATCTAACCCTTCGTTTTCTTTGAACCGTTCCCCCAGAAACCCTCCTCCTTCCAATTTCTCGTCTTTTGAAGTGGCAAAACACCTGCTAGTCTTCAGTACTGTAATACTTTTGCTGCTTTCTAAACTGCTGTGAAGGAAGCCTACTTGTAAGGTTTTTTTTTTTTCTCCCCTCTGATTTCACAAGTCTTAACTCCCTCATCTTTTATTTAACACACAAGACCTTCTGACTTGGTTCTTGTCCCATTTTTCTTTTCTTACTCCTGTTATTGGAGACAGAATACATCCAGCAGTCACGTTAAAATATTGGCTTTGGGCAGCTGAAGTTACTGGTTACACACAGGTGTTACCTTTCATGACTGGGAGCAGCAAATTAAGGCTGGTCACTAAAGGAAATTCTGCTTTTCTTTACTTGTAAGGGGTGATTCAGGGAGGTCTTTGGCACAAGAGGACATCAGAGGCTTTGTCTGAGAAGCTACCAGGAAGACAGCTGCATTATTTCTCTGTGTTGTTGGAAGCGGGGACTTTAGATTTGTTGTGGCAGATTAATAGGAAGTGGGCTCTTTTATTGCGTACCAGTGCAGAGGGAGGTGAAAGCAACTGCAAACTTAAATGTAGCTTCTTTAATATTTCAGCAATGCTTGGTCTGGGTAAAACGACTCAGAGCAAAGGTATGCTTTCCTTAGAAGATATTACCTGTCATTTGGAGACCACTCACTGTACTTTTGGAGCTATGTTATGAAGTCGGACAATGCTAAACATGAAAAATTAGGTATACTTCTAGGCATTGAGATTTATTTGTAGTTAACTGTCAAAGAAGACTCCTACAGGAGATGGCCTGGATTTGGCAGCGCAAGGAGCTGTCTATAATGTCATTGAAAACAGGACTTTAAAAATGGAGGTGTTAACTAGTGGAAAAACTAATACGTGTTTAGTTAAGCCCCTCTTTTTGAGTCAAAATACAAGAGAAAAGAACAGAAGAAAATAAGTGGTTTTTTGAGGTTACTCTTCTATGCCTGTGTAGGGATATATGTGGCTTGGCAGCATCCTAAACATTATGACCCAGAAATGCGTGGGCTGGAGAGGTTGCACTGAAGTGGGTTTGGGAGCAGGGAGTCTGAGGCAGCAGCAGAGCTGGGAACAGAAGGACTATAGGGGTGATGGTTGGGTGGAGGAGGCTGGTACATGCCTGTGCTCCAGAAGAGAGTCCAGGGAGCAGTAAGAGATTGAAGAGGGGAAGAGAGAGATGGATAGCTGGAGGAGTTTGGGGCCTGAGGCTGCTGAAGAGAGAAGAAACAGAGGATCCAGAACATGGTGTTAACAACTCGTATCTTTTGATGTCTGTCCAGTGGTTTGTACGAAGCTGCAAGACCTCAGTGGGCCTCAAATGAGTGGTCTGTGCCCACCAAGAAATCGTCGTTTTGACCAGCACTAATTTACAACCTCACTGGCAATTTGAGCAGAGAGATCAAAGGTGGAAAGACCACAGAAATAAGAGCTCTCTTTCCTCTGGTTAAAGAATGTTCCTCCCAGGCATGCTAATGTGATCCTAAACCAGTGGCTGCAAAATCTGTTCCTCCCTTTGGAAGATACTTTCAAAACTCTGGTCTCTTCACCAGAATGAACATGTTGAGTACTGTCCCATGGTGGACCCAACAGTTTCCATAAAAAGTGTCTGAAGTGCTTGGCTGCATCTTCCTTTCATGCTGTCTGCCTTTCCACCCCTTCCCATGTGCATGCACGTATTTTAGTTGGCAAGGGTGAAACCTGGTGCTTACAAGGTGATTTAATGCTAATCTGCTTAGCACTCCAAAGCCTTATCAGACAGCTCTTAGACTACCAATGTATAGCTGGAGTGTGCTTTCTCACTTGCCATTTGTGTTTTCCTCAGCACATAAAGTTATTGTATCTTACAAGGGCTGTTGCGTCTTATGAGTTATGTCTTCTCGATTAACAGAGCACTGTTTAGCTTTTGATGTTTGTTAATGTGTTTGGGAAATGTCTCAAATGAATTTCAAAGACCTGTTAAGCTGGGATGAATCTGAAGTACCTCCCCCCTTCCCTTAAAGACCAGAAGCCCACAAAGCTTTTTGTTTGCTTCAGGAGCATGAGATCTTCCACTGACTTTTGAAATGTGAATTTCATCTTACATTCCCCTGTGTGCTCAGCACAGAGCCTGAGGAGTGTAAGACGGTGTTATTCTTTCAAAAACTGGGATGGGAAATGAGTGTGAAAATGAATAGCGTGAAAAACACGCAAAAATAGCTTCATGTAACAAGAAGTAACATCCTTAGAAACTAATAATCTAATAATTATTTAGTGAAATAGATAAGGAATTTTGTTTTAAATTTTTTTGTATATAAAAAAATGTAGTTTCATATGCTTTGGAGCATAGATCCTGTACAGTCTGAATACAGTTGTTGTATATTACTTACACAATTTCTTTTTTATCAGGGTGTGGTGTTTGTAAGAGAATGATGCCATCTTACCAGCAGGCAGCCACAGAACTGAAGGGTAAATATGTAAGTGAGAAGATAAAATTTATATAAAATATTAAAAAAAAACCACCTAGTAACACTTTTTTTTTTTGCGTATTTAAAACCAGAAATACGTATTGAAGTGGGGAATTTTTAAGCAAGCCAAACCAAAACAAATGAATGACTCTGTTCCAGATCCCTTCAGTATCGTCTCTCTTGGTTTTCATTCTTTTTAAAACTTTGGAGAATGAGGTGTTAACTCATGTGCCCTTTAGATCCAGTGTAGTTCATGCCATGGAAAAATGGGCTCTGATGCTACATAGTTTTGTTTTCAGCTTCTAATTTGTGAGTTTGAGCCCATGTTTGAGCCCATTTGTGAGTTTGAGCCAAGAGAAGGCTCTGGGGTGATCTTACAGCAGCTGTCCAGTACTTAAAGGGGGCCTACAGGAAAGCTGGAGAGGGACTTTTTACAAGGGTGTGTAGTGATAGGACAAGGGGCAATGGATTTAAACTGAAAGAGGGCAGATTTAGGTTAGATATAAGAAATTCTTTACATTGAGAGTGGTGAGGTACTGGAACAGGTTGCCCAGAGAAGTTGTGGATGCCCCATCCCTAGAGGTGTTCAAGGCCAGGTTGGATGAGGCTTTGGTCAACCTGGTGTAGTGGAGGATTTCCTTGCCCATGGCAGGGGGGTTGGCACTAGATGATCTTTGAGGTCCCTTCCAACCCTAACCATTCTATAATTCTATGATTTTATGTTGGCAAAGATAAAGAAATGTTTACCATAATGGGTTTGATCAGCTTTTTGGCCTGATGTTTCATTGTAGGATCAGGGATGGATGCCCTTATAGCAATAATTAATCCACTTCTTCAGTGGAGAAACATAGTGTCATGGGAGCAGGGATTTCCCTATGTTAGCTACTGATCGTCCTCCTAGCCACTGAGCATAAGCATTGATAAAATCTTACAGTTTTCCTATAGCTCTGTCAACAAAGTGTTCATACCAGATTGAAATGAAAGTAAGTTCTGACTGCAATAAAATCCACCAACAGCAGTCACAATAATTTAGTTACTTGTTTGTACTAGTAAGACGCATTGATCTCTAAGCAAGTCAAAGGCACTTCTGTAGTCGAAGTTTTATAATGTGCTTAATGTACAATTTATATGATACCAATACTGCATGAATGACAAAGAAATAAGATTGTTGTTTCATGGCTTTAGCTGGATCTGGTCTGATCCTACCTGTTGGATCATTCACTGTGAAGTTTACAGGTTTCCTCAGGAGAGGTGGCATGTGATGAGGAGAAGATGAAGCACTGCGGTTCATCGCTAGGTCAGCCCTGGCCATTGCTGCTCATAAGCACCGAGTACTGTCAGACTCCTCCACATTCTCCCAACTACTTGTTTTTCAGAAGCGTTTTCTCTAAATCCTTGTTTGCTTAGGGCTGAAGTGAGTGGGAGTTGTTCAGATTTATTTAGGACACAGTACAACCCTTGAAGATATTTTTCAGGAGCATTTTTGTCTAGCCAGGCAGCACTCTAATGCCATCTCCCCTCGGTGTTGTGTGCGCTGCGGTCTTTGGGAAGGGACTCTAGTCTTGCATGGCAGGAACATCACAAGCCATGGAGTGGGCCGGAATTAGGAATGTAAAGAATCACCTAGAGAGATAGTGCCAGAGAGAAGGCATGCTGCAGACCACTGTGTTCTCCTGCAATTACCCCTTCCTTGTCCGTGTGCAGCTCGTTTTATTAAATTCAGAATGGAGAATTTAAATTCCAGATCTATTCTAGTTTGATTATTTCCTTCCTTCCTTGGAAATGGTTTCTGTAGATCCGGGCTAATCCTGCACAGCTGAGTGACAGGGCTGTGGCACAGCACTGAGGCTGGCAGTGCCTGCGCTTGATGCAACTCAGGTCAGGGGGAGGTTTTGCACTGGAGTGTTTTTAGTGCAAGATCAGTTCAGAGGAAAGTCCAGTTAATGCCAGTGCCACCTGTGTCTTTCACAAGAATCGGTCTGTTCGTCTAAATTTGACCTAATTAGCTTCCTGAGTGGGATGTGTACACAGTTTGCCATTTCTGAAGTTAACTGTGCTGTACCCATCATAAATTATCCATGGGGTACCTTAGAGTGATGTTGCCCTCAGGATCAGCCTTTGCTGGAAAGTTTATGATTGGTTTGGATGAGCGGAAGGTTTGGCCTTTTAATCTGACCTGTCATTACCTGTCAGGATGTGCCAGGCTCCAAAGTGATTATTGCTATTATATAGCAGGAAAATGAAGTACAGTATTGCCTGTTTAATAGGTTGTAAAAATGAAAAGGTGAACTGTACCTGTTGCTGGTTGCTGTGTTCTCTTGAGAGTGGTTGGGTTTTGTCCCAGTACTGTTACTGAGAGGAAGGCAGAGTGGCGTTTTCAGTGTTCTATTAGGTTTAGATCTTGCAATTCCATTACACTCAGTGCAGAAGGAAAAAAGGGACTCCAGATTGGAAGAGGATGGCTTATTTTGTCCTTGGCACAAGAGATTCCCATGGTTTGTGGGTAGGGTGGGCTCTGCTGAGTGACTGTCACCAATGCTCTATGGCCCCAGTGCAGGGAGGAACGAGTCGTCAGCAAAGCACTTCAGCGTCTCCTTACTGCCCATGGACTTCATGACTGTGCCAGAATGCTTTATTTGGGAAAGACTGGCTTGAGTGTATGCTTAAGTGTTGTCTTTCTTTTTGGTAAAGACATGGGACTTCAGAAGTGTAAAGTTCATACGCTTATTTCGGATATCAAATAAAGGAGCCTTTGTTTAATCTGTTCATTAAACTTGGCTGTGGAAGGCTTCAAGTGGTGGTACAAGGTACCAGTTTTGGAGCAGTCCCATCAAGAAAACTATGAAGCAAGGAGGGGGTCACAGTACAACAGTGAAGTTCACAGTACACAGTCATAAGCCCGGAAGATATGACCAGCTATGAAAGGTTCAGAGTTGACTTAGGTTGTAGGTGACTTCGTGGAGAGCAGATAAGTGTTGAAATATGTCAGATGTCACTGCAGAGGTGAAAGGAATAAACTGATCTTCGTGTCTGCTGTGGCTCTTACAAGAGGTAATGGACTTAAATTGAAGTCAGGGTAATTCAGTCGTTTGTTAAAAGCAAATTAGCTAAATGTCTGGCAGGAGTAGCTTAGGTATAGATGGGGATTCTGACTTTGGGTAGCAGGTGTATTTTGATGGTCTCTGACAACCTGATATTACCTAATTCTGTGATTATAGGCCAGCTAAAGGTGTTACTTCTGTCATTAAAAATGAATCCCATTGTAATAGGCTTTTTGGTAATTATGCTTCATATGATGTATGAACACCAGAATGAATCCAAGTTATTGACTTGTATCGATCACCACAGGCTGGGTGGACACAGTGAAGTTGTAGCAGAGTGTCTGAAATGGCCCGGGATGCTCATTTAAGACCTCGGAAATCCTCTGAAAGTTCACAGCAAATGTGAAGTGTGGTAGACTGGTGTTGGTGAGGGAATTGGTTAGCAAACCTGGTTCTTGCTTTATAAAGCAACCACTGTGACTTGATCTTATTGCATTTACCTACCCTCAAGTGGTGACATAGAGGATAAGGGGAGGGGAGAATTGTATCTAGAGGATCTCTTATGAATTAAGTCAGTCTGGTTGTTGGAACTACAAGGAAAATTCAGTGAGAGACTTGGCCAACCAGAATAAACCCTATTTCTATACTTTTCTCAGTTAGCTTTCCTTTATCTTTTCTCAGAATAGGGGAGAGAAAACAAAGTACCTTTTTGTGACTTTCCAGCACATTCGTAGAACAGGTTGACCTTCAAATGAGGATTTTCTGCTTTAAGATTTATTTCATGCTAGCTCTGAGCACATTTGGTTGGTCTGTGCAGTTTGCTGCAGTCAGGAACTTTGTATTAAATTCTGATGTGGTATTTCAGCTGCAAGGAGAAAATCCTGGTTTTGAAGGGGGGAAGGAGGAGGGGTTCGGATTAAGACCCTGCTGCTAAAATGATTTAAGCTGCCAATGCCGTTAAACTAAGTTAATCATGAAGTGGTATCTCAGCAACTCGCTGGTTGGACGTTTGAAAGCAGAACGACCTCTATGTGAATCCCACACCCACAGAAACTCAGGATCAGTCCCATCTTCAAATTTTTAGGTCAGAAATCTTTGGAAGGCAGTTGGACAGGGCACAGGATAAATTTTGGTAGCCCTGAGCCTGAAACGTGGAGTGAAGGGTTCTTGAGAGGGAGGATGGGTTAAGATAGAGGTGAGGAAAGGGAAGGAGAGGCTTTTTGTTTTGCTTGCTAGTCGGAAAAGCTACCATGCTTCTATGCCCCTCTTTTGATAGCTGTAGGACAAGGTTAATTCTTAACTCTCATTATACCTTATCAGACAGGTAAGTTAACATGTTTAAAGCATATAAATACCATGTTGTATTTCCTGGGCTCATGGAAATAGGGCATGTTTTACTTTCACATCAAAGTAATGCTTATTTCCCCTTGCCATTCAGTAAGTGCATTTTTGAAGTGAGATAACACCGGTGCTTGGTCGGTTAGATCTTCTGAACATTAGCTGAGATTGTAAATTTGTTGCTGGAGTGGAAACCAGAGAGATGAGGGTGGAAGTTCTTGTATCATAGCGAATGTTTGAATGCGAACTAAGCCATGTACTTGCAGAAGAAGAAGAAAAAAAAAAATCTAGTTAGGCTTGTAGCTTAAAATCCAAGTACACAAAGAAGAGCATAAGCAGTGTGGTTGAGAGTTCCCTTTAGGTATTTCTGTTAGTGGGTGAATAGAAAGAAACAGAGACACTTCCAGAGCAAGGAGGAGGTGACAAGCTGATTGGTGTGTGCTTTCTGTGGATTTGACTCAAATATTGCTCTGTTCCCCCTTGCACAAAGTGAGGAGAACTTCACTGCCATTTCGAGAGATCTCCTTGCTTTACAGCAATGTGAATGAAATCAGAATTTGCCCAGAGCTTAGCTGTTTTTACTTAACTCTTTTAAAAAAGGTGATAATGTTCCTGTTGTATTGAGAGAATCAATCTGATTATGCTCTGTTCTTTCAGGTTCTTGCTGGGATGAATGTTTACTCTGCTGAATTTGAAAGGATAAAGGAAGAATACAATGTCCGGGGATATCCTACAATCTGCTATTTTGAGTCAGTTATGTTTTGCTACTACTTTAGAAATGATGCACTCAACTATAATTGCATGTTCTTATCTTCCAGGGCAAAGACTAAACCTTGTTTTGTTGCTTTAACAGGAAAGGAAAGTTCCTGTTCCACTTTGAGAACTATGGTGCTACTGCAGCAGATATAGCAGAGTGGCTGAAAAAGTAAGGCATTGAACTTCATGCACTACTACCTTTTCTGTACTCTTCATCATTTACAGAATGTAATGGTTTGGGAACAGCCATCTCTCCCTCATTCCCTCCACTCAGAAGAGCAAACAAAACTACCCTGCTGAGATTGGCTAAACTAGTACAGGAAGGTTGCCTAAAGTTTGGTTTTTAGCATGCATGCCTTGCATTTTACAATTGCGTTTTGTCTGTAATAAGAGACTGTCTGTGGACCAAAAGAAATGCAGATACACAGATCTCAGTTGCGTTAGAAATGCCAACTTAAATTTCCAGTGCTATTGGGTGCCTGAACTTAATTCCTTGCAAAAGGTCTGACTTCTGTTGTTTTATTAAAAATGTATATACCAAGTGCACAGTTCTTGTTGGTTCTTCAACCTTTAGCTGAGCCTTTAGAGTGTCTTGCAGAGACAAACCGGAGATCAAGGCACCCCGGATTGCTAGTCATTTTTACAAAGTCTGTGTTTCCTGTCTTGACATGAAGTGGTTTGGAAGCATCTTGTTCTACTAAAGAGAGCTATTTGCAGTCATAAATATTTTGGGGGCTGAATGAGCCTATTGGACTAACAATTGAGAGAGACGGAAAAGTGTGTGAGTGTGTATATAGTTGCTCTTCAGCTGGTGCGAATCAGCACCTTGTCAGTGAAGCTGATAGAGCAGCTGGAGAGAGCTGAGATAGTCTGGTGATGGAGAAACACCATTAGCAGTTAGCCCTGGCTCTTGGGCATTATGTCATCTTTGTAACCCTTCCTTGGTTGCTGCAGTGACTGAAATAATCCTGAAATGAAGCTAATGAAAGGAAACGAACCCGTGGGAAGAGCAGACAGTTGCAAACTACTGTGATAATATGGCTTAGCAAAATCGGCTCAGAAAAAATGTGTTTTACTGTACCAGTGGGTCTGCACTGGGGACATGCATATAGTTGCAGGGAGTCTAGGGTCTTCAGCAGTGGTAGGCTAGGTGCTTCAGGATTGGGAACCCACAAATGAAGTGGCAGCAGCGTTCCTGTTAGCATCTGGAGGTACAAACACTGCAGGCGAATACTGCCTGGTGGATGAAAGAGGAGGAATTTGACCATAGTCTTTAAGCCTCATTTAGTCCATTAAATCTTCAGATATGAATCATCAGGATGGCAACTCCAGCAATGCTGAGGAGGTGATCAGCCCTTGGAGCAAGGATATGGCTTCATCACCTACACTTTATTATGCTTTTCAGTTTTGCAAGGATTTGGTTATCTCTTGGCTACCACACGTGAAACATTAGATGTTTGGGGTGAGGTTTTTTCCCCTGTCTGCCCACATAATATCCAGATAATCCCTATAATATGCAGTGCCTTTATATCAGTGCTGTGACAGCAAGTGAACACAGCTACTGGAGGCAAAGCAGAACAGCTGCAAGCTCTTTCCAGTGATAATCTCTGCTAACAAGCCACTGTGGGCTTTGGCTGATATTTCAGCAGTCCAGAGCTAAAGACAGCTGTTTGTCCTCACTTAGTGTTAGTGCATGCTTATTAGTTTCCCAAAAGATGATCTGAGCAGTAGCCTTCTTGCCCCTGTTTTCTATAATAAGTACAACTTTTAAGGAAACCACGTTGAGAAATCATGCATACTTGAATTTTGTCAGTAATTGATGTTGCAATTAAAACTGTATACGGAGTAAATCTGCTACATGCATAATATTATATTACTCTGAGGAATCTGCAGTGCTAGTAGTCAAATGGTATGGCAAGGGCTTTAGGAAAGCCAAAGAGTGTAATTAGATAACTACAGGGTGTATAGGCTGTATTTCAGAATAGTTTAATACTAAAATCATGTCAGGAAGTTGCTCTGTTTGAGATGTTGCTCTGTGGAGCACAGGCACAGCAGTGCCACAGTGTACATGGCAGCCGATGGTGAGGAAAGCCAGTGTGGTTTTTGTACTGTGCACGTCTGCTGTCATCGTAGGTTATCAAAAGAGAATCCAGGAGACATTGAGCCGTATGAAATGACCTGGGTTTTGTGGTCACTAGGTACACACTGCAGAAAAGCAACTGTTTTCTCTTCCCTCTCCCTCTTCTCTGTTTTTTCCCTCTAAATGTTCCTGGTAAAAGTGCTGAAAGTGGTTGGTCTATGCTCATTTTTAGAGGAGGGCATGTTATAACTTAATGAAGGTTAGAATTATTTAAATTATTGAAAGGATGTTTTCCATGTTCTTTCCTCTCAGAAGAAGAGCTGCTAGTTTGGAGGGCTCCAACACCTTTTCTTTTACTACTTACTGAAGATGCTTCTTTCTTACGCTGAAGTGTGCTAATGCATCAGTCTTACAGATACTTAATCTCTCTTATCTCCCTAATAGGCACTTGCAACTATCTTACGGAGTTTCAGATGTTTTTATGAGGTTATAGAGAGAAGCCATCATAGAACCTTACTCCAACACACAGCATTATTAACACGAGAGATTCTATCTTGTACATACCACAATTCTATTTATTTTATTTTATTTTTTTTAACCTGCTACACAGCTGTATCATCTTGGATGGTAGGCAAGCCAGACAGCTTCTTACTCCCTTCAGTAGCTGCTTATTTTGTCTTGCTGTTTTTATAGACTCCTCTCAGGCCTTTCCTTAGCACTAGCTATTCAGTTAAATCAAGAACTTGTTCTCTGTTCTTAATTAAATTAGCTCTTGATAACTCTTCCAGACTTCTGTCATCCTGTTTTTGGTCTTCAGGCGTTGGATGTGCCTTGTCTCAGTTTTAAATGACATTTTAGATTTTGCTTGTTGCTTCCTTCAGGCCTTGAGGTGCTTCTTACTAACTCCTGTGTAGGCTTATTAGCATGCTCAGCATTTTAAATTGGGCCATTTGAATAAACATCCTGTGCCCTGCTTTACTAATTCCTTAGTGAAATAGGTCATGCCAGGCCCTGCTAAACACAGTGTTCCCCCCGTGCTTTGTAGCCACTGTGTCCGTGTTCATCAGACTCTGCCTACTCAACCCACTCCCTTTCCAAATTCATTAAGTGTCATGGTGTTTTCTGGAAAGCCTTTGCTCTTCCAGAATACCTGCAGATTATTGCTCTCTTAGAGGCTTGGCAACAAGCAACCTGATTATCTGCTAAGCTTTTAGAGAGTAAACTCTTGTGGATGGGGACCTGCCTCCTCTTCTCTCTTGGCTGCGTGGCCAAGTGCAGCTCTGATATTTGCTTTAATGTTTGCTTCTTCTATGTTTATCATATAAGCAGCAGCAAAGGTGTGCATCACAGTTTTCCGTGGATTGCTTAATATTCTTGGATCATATCCGTTGCTTACATCAATAGAATTTGCTATCTGAATCTGTGTATATCTCTACTGCTTTTTCTATCAAACTAGGCTTTCAGCCTAGAAATGAGCAAGGCAGGATAAATGAGTTTTCATCCATTTGCCATTCCTTATTCCAGCCAGCTAACACAATAATACATTTTAATCAAAAATAGTAAATCTGCTTTCACCAGAGATGGGGTCACATCCAGACCTGTACTTTGCCAAAGAATCTGGGGAATTTTAGGGGGGAATTTGGAACTCGTTACTACAACTGGCAAGGATAAAATAGCTTCAAAGTCGGGCTCCAAATGTTCATATGTTTGGGTGTCCTTTAATGTGAACAGTGCTTTAATAAATAAAATGTCAATTAGCATAGTTTAGTTCACATCTGCCAAATTCTCTTTTTAATGTACATTAATAAAAGCCAAGAACAATTGTTTAGCAAAATGATGAGCACTGAACTGGTCCAGAGGAGCTTGGGTTCAGTTTCTAGATTTGCCACCATGTCTTTAAGCAGTCTCTCTGGCTCTGATCCATCAAAGATGGTTAAACTCATGTGAAATCACAGGGAAGTTGGTAGGACATGTCACTTATCTTTTAGGTTAAGCATGCAGTTGAGTAGCTTTGCTGAATTAGGCCTACAAGCGCACTGCCGAGAGAGGGCATAATGATGCTTCCCCAGGTCACAGGGTTGTTCAGGGTAAACCTGCATGTTCCTGGGGAAATGATCCGTGTAGCTAGCCCATGGTCTTAACACTGTACCTCCTTCTTTCTCGTCAGCCCTAATCATGCTGTCAGTATTCAAGGTGAGTGGTTAGATTGACTGTTTCTGCTCACTACCTTTTTCTTTCATGTGCAATGGCTCCTGTGAACTCTGAAGTGTGAATGCTGTGAAAAAGGGAGCATCCTGCTGAGGAGGGTAGAAGAGTAACAGAAAATGCATCAGATTTCTATAATGTAATAACCAAGCAGTCTGGTTATCTCCTTGTTCCATCCCCTTCCATTGCTGATCTGTCCTTGTGAGCTTCTTGTGGATTTTTTTATTCCTCCTTCAGTGTTATCTGCGTTTCAGTGCTTATGAGTTCTGGGTGGGTACAATTATGGAAGCTGTTCAGTAGGGTTAATGTGTCGTACATATGCAGGCACCTGCACAAAGTGGTTCCTTGCGGTCCAACTTGCCAAAATGACTGCTTAGCACCAGAGAGCTGCTTTTCAGCTGTGTCTGTTTGTCTTGTAGCCCACAGGCACCTCAGCCACAGGCTCCGGAGACTCCCTGGGCAGATGAAGAAAATGTAGTTTATCACCTGACTGATGAGGACTTCGACAAGTTTTTAAAAGATCATTCATCTGTGCTAGTGATGTTCCATGCACCATGTGAGTTTATGTTTTTCTGTTCTGTACCCTGAGTCAAATACTTGCTAACAAAACCAATGATGATTTTCTGTGGAGGTTTCACAGAGCTGTGAACTCGAAGCCCAGGCTTTTCTTGTTTGTGGTGATTATTAAATACACAAGGCATGAAATGTTTGTGAAGTTGCTGACTTCAAGTTTAGGATGGAGATGTGCTTCTGGAAGAGGAACTTCGTAGGCTGAGTCAAAACGTAACTGAAGAGCGTAATGATGCTTAAACAGTCTGAGGACTCATCGTTTTACAGCATGAATTCCCATTTTCAGCTTGTCTTCTGTGGTGTTTGCTTTCAAGGCAGAGCCTTGGTTGATTGAGCAATTCAACTTGAGACCTGTGAGCTCCTGAATCCTTGTTCATGGTTGCCGATCTATCATTTTGAGCATTTTCACTTCTCTGCTCCAGTTTGTTTCTGCCAATGTAAGGGGTGATAGCCATTATGTATTGTGCTGAAGTATGCTAAAACTTAGATTAAGTTCAGAAAGTCCCCAGGACTTCTGTAAACTAATGCAGAGCTGGTAGTGATATTACTTGCTGTTTGACTAAGGATGCATTGAGCTGATTTTTTTTCCATGACTAGAAGTTTTAGCTTGAGCAATAAAATGCAGTAGGTTGCCACCAGAAAGCTGTTCCAGCCACGTCATTCCTCTGTACACTGTTGGATATAAGAGTGCAGTAACCACTTTTTTCACTTAGGATGTAAGTGTTTTCAGCTACATATCTGGCTCTACCAATTCTTTGTGCCTGTGATGAAAGGTTCAGGCTGAAATCTGCTATGTTGGGTGATACACAGCTTCTGTCTCCTCTTGCGGCTTTGCTGGCAGTTGCACTTGGGCGAGATGTTCATTTTTATGGGCATAGATTTGAAGGTTAGAGCTCTGGAGGCAAGCTCTGTGCTCACAGCTGAACAGCGGAGGGTCTTGGCATGAAGGCTGAAACCCTGCTTCCTTTTAAGCCAGCAGGAGTTAGCTCCAAAATGCCTTTTTTGAAGGTCTGCTCATAAGACTAATTTGAAAAACATACTGTAATGAATTTCCTTTGCCCAGTGAAATGTCTAGGGATTTGATCCACTGAAGCAGGTGACTGGCTGCTGTTTTGTCGCTGTGTTCACTGGAGTATTTGTGCTAATGAAAGTGGGACCGGAGATTAACGCCTGGTCTGAAAACCAAAACACAAGTAGCAGAACTGATGAAGCCTGGTTTGCTCAGGAGTTATCCTTCGTTACGCAAATCCTTCCTTCCCTAGATTTCCATGCATCCCAGCATGCAAGCGACAGCACAGGCTGCTGCTCCCCAGGAGCTGTATGCTTGCTGGTTTGGCTGAACAACTGCTGCCAAATAGACATGTAACTGCTGGATTTTCCTTCTTTCCCTCTCCGTGCATAATGGCTTGGGATACGTGTCCTCTCTCTAGCCCCAGATTTCTCTATATTTACAGAGGTTTAGTCGTATTTGAAAGCTTTGTTGTTTTTCTAGTTTGTAAATGGGCAGAGGAGTCCAGTCATGTATTTGGGATGAGGAAGAGATGGAAGAAATCGACAGTTGTCCCGGCAAACCTTATTCCTTTAGGAAGTCGGATGAAAAATAGATGAATACATACAATTGCAATCAAGTTTTGTAGTAAATTCAAGTTAGTTACAGATCTGAACAAGGCTTTGTCAAGTTTGTGGTTTTTTAATATCTTCTAAAACATAAATAGTACAATTTTAGCAGTAACAATATTGCATGACCCATTTGGAGAGGAGGAGTACTTGCAGCTAGGGATGTTTTGTACTAAGGGGCATTCTGCGCTAAGGTACACCAGTCCTTTGGCAAATATTGTTTCGAAAGTAAATCAAATACCTGAATCAGGCTGTTGCAATCTCCTGATAACATGTTCCAACTGCTCAGAATTGGGATAAAGAATGTTCCTTACCAGAAGAACTCCATTTTAAATGCAACTTGAATATTGGTAGCGTTTTGTTTACATGCAGTTGGTAGTGGTATGCCTATGTGCAGAATCCAGCTTGTACCTGTATAAAAGATCTGTGTTTGTAAGAATTCTCTCTGGGCGTTCTCAGCAGAGTGTAAGGCTTGCAAACTAATTAATGACATACAACTATCATAAACAGTTATCTCCGTGACTAAAAGATCTTCTCCTAGCACTTCTTAAATGTGCTAATGGAGTCATGTTAATGAATATTAGGAGATAAATTACTCTAGTAAAAGAAGTGGTAAAAATGGAGGACATCTGATTTGTTTTAACCTTGGTAGCGTAGGATGCGAATGTTTCTTCTGAAAATTATGTATTAGTAAAAAAAAAATTGTTGAAACAAATGCAGAAATAGACCCAGAACTCAGGATATACTTTTGTGTAACTAAGAATAAGCAAGGGGATTTCAACACTGGCCTGGAATTAATAAATACTTCAAAACCCTGTGTCACCATGCAGCATACAGACTTGGAGTTTTTCTAGCATGCTGTCAGTCTTGTGTTCATAAGAAGTTCTTTTACTAGAGGGAGAGTTATTTCAGTGATGCTTGAATTGCATAGTTAGAGGGTCAATGCATTAATAGAGTGTAGTATTAAAAGATGTGTGGGGAATTGGAAGCTTTTTTTCCTCCCCTCCCTGTCATCCAAATGCTGAAGATATAGCTGAACCAAACACATCCCTGGTAAATAGCTGTGAACTGCAGAATTAGGCATTGTGATGAATGTGGCCAATTGGGTCTCCATGCCTGGGCTAGTAATGATCATCCCTGAGAACCACACTATAATTACTTGCAATCAGTTGCAGTTACTAGCCCGATTAAAGGCATCTCAGCATTTTGTGTTAAGTACAGTCTAGCATAACTGGCTTCAACTAGAGCAGCTACATGTGATTTAAACACATTGGGAAGTTCTGCAGCATAGAATCGTAGAATGGTTTGGGTTGGAAGGGCCCTCAAAGATCTTCTAGTTCCAACCCCCCTGCCCTGGGCAGGGAAACCCTCCACTACACCAGGTTGACCAAAGCCCCATCCAACCTGGCCTTGAACACTTCCAGGGATGCGGCATCTACAACTTCTCTGCATGCAACTTGCACCTCTTCCTATCAGAGACATTATACCTTTTCTGCAATAATTTAGCACAACCGTTAAACAGAAGATGTGCTACTTCGAGTCGTTACTGCTGGCCCTGAGAAACGTGGGTGGGTGTGGGTGGGCAGGATGAGTTCATCCTGCTTTCGTTTTGCAGGTCACTAGGGACATGAAGCAGGATTTTTAACCTTCTGAAACTCCTTGGTAAAGCCCTTAAGAGAATGTGCAATAAATCAGAATATTTAGCATAGGTAAACAGCGACCCAAACAGCCAGGAGTCTGAAGGCACTCTCCCTCCTAAGCCATCTGCAAAGGGCGTGCAGCATTGAGCTCTTTATTCGAGCATTTTGTTGAAATTTTTGTAATTGCTGGTGGCAAGCATAGTGTTATCCTGATTATATCCAGACTGGAGTCTTGCAGACATCTAAAGTGTTTTTTCTATGGGTTGAGAAACTTCAGTTAGGAACTGAGACTCCTGCACTATACAAAGGAACAAATAAACGGCCCTTTCCCCCAAAAGGATTTGGAGTTTTTGCTTTGATTGATCATACTTGCTAACATGAGATAGCACATTGGTGTTAGTAAGCCCATTTCCAAGTGTGTAACAGAAGATGTATTGCACCAACCAGAGCTATTTCTGTACCACAACATAAATAGACAGCTATGCAGCTTTTGATAGTCTTCTGTTGGCAATAAGAATAAAGACTCTGTGTCTGTATCTGCTGCTTGATATCTAAGCCTACAGGTGATCGATTTCTTTAGATGCCCAAGATGACAGCTGGGTTCTGAATGTCTCTAAATTTGGGTTATACTGCCTGTCAAGTGTTGTTAAATGCCACTGGAGTGGCATAGGGCCTCCCTAGGACTCAAAATGCTCCTGAATCACTTGAGCACAAAAAAGCCCTGTTTGTGTTTTCAGTTGTCACCATCAACAGAGTAAATGCAATTTTAAAAATAATTCTGTTGCTTTTTTTTTGCCAAATTAATGCAGCTTGCAGTCTTTCGGACTTGGTTTTGTCAAAGAATAAAAATCCCACCAATTTTTCTTTATATGTTTTTCCCAGCGTTTTTCTCCAAAGCACAGTCTTGGAGTCTTGCACAAAAAAAACTAATGAAGTCACTGATAAGTCAATTCAAATGTTACTGAAGAGTGTTTAAAGACTAGGATTGAAATTAAAGTCAATTCAGGAATGAGTTCTAAAAGTGCCTGCTTTTCATGCACAAGAGTTACTTTTCATTATGTTTCGTTAACACAGATGACATTGGTAACATTTTAAAGTGTATCTGTTCCTGCAGCCTCATGTACCATAATGTCCTGGCACCACCAAGAGCCGTAGCCTCCCCACGTACATTCAGCAAGGACAGATCTTGAGTAGTCTCTGTTGCTAATTAGCGGTGGTCATCAGTCACCTCTGATGGTTGCTTGGGATTGCTTTTCCCTCCTCTTGTACCCCATCAACCGTAGCAAAGTCCATGGTCCAGTACTGATGCCAGAGGTAACAGAGGGGAAAAAGGTGCTTTGACCGTACTGTTAGTGTGAGCAGGCATTTGCTTTTTAAAGGATTAAACTATTAAAATGCTTTTCCTGCAACATTGCTTCCTTGTACATGAGCTTAAATTAATGATAAATCTGTCTTCTTTCCAGCCCTCTTCATAGGACTTCTTCAGAGACTTTATATAAGCTGTAGTTTTGGGACTTTAGATTAGAAAAAATATTAATACTCTTAGTGGGGTGTTGGAGCTATTGTGGTTTTCCTCCCTTGATAAGGAAGGAAGGCAGGGAAAAATGCATCTCTTTCTTTTCTTTTTTTTTTTTTTTTTCCTTTTCCCCTTGCCCCTCCTTAATTTGTTCTTGGAAAATGCTGTGGAGATGCAGCCCTGATAAAACTTTTCTTGCTCCACTCTAATGAG